CCCTTCCCTTCCCTCTCTTTCCACCCCTCCTTCCCTTCTACTTTCTCTATAAAAATCAATGGAAAAAATATCCTCAGGTGAGAATTAACAAAAAAAATTTTTTTAATATAGGAGGTGTGAACATCATCTGCACATGAGAGCGCAGAGGAGGTGTAATTCCTGGCACTCTGAAATGTCATGTGTCTCATGACAGGGAGGTGACATAATTTGACCAGAGCGCCAAAGTCTGCAAACAGCTCATATCAATCAGAGCACAAGCACCGCCCTCCATGAGCCTACTCATACCAGCAAATGCTGGGAAGCAAGCTGTACCTTCCCCCACTATAGCAAGGCAGCCCTTTCATGCCATGTACATCCTATTCCTGGCTAAGCATCTTCTGGCTCTCAGCAAATGATTTCCCAAAAGATATACAGACATGGGTCATTTTAATGAATAAAATACAAGGGATGAGCTTGCCATATCCACCTTTACAGGTTACAAAGGATACTGCCCTCAGGCAAAGATGCCACAGACTTTGGAAATGAATTTGGAGAACTGGGGAAAAGGTGTCCTCAAAAAGCTAGTGCCCTCAGAGCTGCCCCCCTCAGGTGTGTAACCACACCAGCATCTGCCCACCTACAGCTTAGCAGGCATTTCCTTGGCACAATGTGGGAGTAGCAACAGAACAATCATTCTGTCAGGAAATACCCATAATTGCAGTGATGAGAGCAGCAGCAGGTAGGAGCACCTGAGTGCATGCTGCACACCCCCAGGGAGATGGGAGCTTAGTGCACTTGTCTGACTTGCAGTGATGGGGTAACCTTGGTCCTTTATCCCAGATTCCTACAAAGGGGGCTCTTCAGTTGCTGAAATTATAACCTGCAAACACATAATCCAGTCACCCAGGACAAACCCAACAGCCTCTCTGGGTTAGAGCTGATAACATGGTACAAAGTTGGATTTTCCATCATAAAGTATCAACACTCCTCAAGTATCCCCCACATGGTGCCACCAGACCAGTGAGGAGAGGTTCTTGCATGCACCAGTCTGCATGGCAGTAGATGGCAGTGTTTTAATCCTTTAGAGCCCAGTGCCTGTCCCCTCTTCTGTAACCCCATTGATGAGTGAGGACGGGGACATTCACTCAGTGTCTTTTCATCGTGGATCCTGTTTAGCATGCTGACAAAGTTACAGGAGCTGGGAAGAGCCCCTGCACAAGCCCCAGCATGAGCCTGACTTCTGGGCTGCCCCTACATCCACCCCACACCCACAAGACAAGTGTCATAAACCTAGGAACTACATGTGCACCTGTAACAACCACTGACAACCCTCCCCGTGGGGGAAAATGATCTACAAAAGCAAAACTAAATCATTCACCTCTGCAAAGTCTTTACTAATCACAGGCAGAGAGACCAATAGATCTCAAAAGCCCTTCACCAGGAACCAGTGAGGGCTATGAGGTACAATTCTCAGGTGAAAAGGAACTTGGGGGCCAGCTAAGTAAAGAGTTCACTCCCTGGGTCCCCACAGGCACCATTAATGAGCTCCAGCTATTTGGGCCAAGACGGTTCCTCCCCTCGAAGCTGGGGCTGCTGAGGTGCCTCCTCCTCCCCAGCATCCTGCTTCTCCCTCTCGGTGTCACTCCATTTCAGAGGTGCGATCATCTTCTTGGGCCCATGAGGTGGGGGCCCGATGAGGGCCTCGATGTCCTCGTAGTTGATCACTTCCTTTTCCAGCAGGGCATTCGCCAGCTAGGAGGGACAGAGGGCAGTGTGTGAACCTTGGAGAACAAGGACACAGATGAACCTTTTGAAAGCAGAGCACAGAGAGAGGGGGCCCCTCAGCCTCCCAGGAAGGGGTGTCTGTGAGCAGGATGCCCCCAGACAGGCCACTTTCCCAGGGAAGTGGCACACACAGGCAGCTTAAGCAAAGAATCGCTCCCTGTCTCAACCTTGGCGATGATTTCCCAGCTGCAGCCTCATTAATTTTCTGCTTCCCTTCCAAATCCCTGCTTATTTTGTGCAACTTCGATTTCCTTTACCAAACAAGATGTGGGTGTCTGTATGGGGGCAGGGGGCTAAAATGCAGAACACCCTGGCTGGAACTTGAGGAGTGCTGGTGCTACAGTGTGAGCTGGGGGGACCTCACAGTTCGGGAAGGGGGCCTCTGCCTCTCTAAATACAGTCATGGAAAACATGCTGAGTGAATCCTGTGAGTGTCCTGTGCCAGCAGTCAAATGCTGCTGCTCAGTCCCCACTACAAGGAATGTTGCCACAGCCACCAGGACTGGTTTCTGTCACCCCCAAACTGGGGTCACCACTTGCTCTGTGTGGCTGCTCTAAGATATTGCTAAGCACTGTACCCCACCGATGATGTGAGTGGATCATGATCACAGGGCAAATGAGGCAGGACATCCTCAGCCCAGCACAGGGAGCCCAAGTCCTGCCCAGCAGCAGCGACAATGTACACATGTGACACCAAAGGACCTTGTTAATGGCAGTTTATGCCTCAGCAGGTTGGGAAGGCCTGACATTCTACACTGCCCACAATTCTGGGGAAGGCTAGTGCTGCTAGTAAGTGGCAACACTTGGAGGACCCCACACGCGCAAATCCCAGCTGGCAGAGCCTCACATTAATGAAACAGCCTGTCCACCAAGAGCTGCCCACCTGTACTAGGGCACTGTAACTTCACCTCTGGGGTCAAGAGGTGACCCCAAACCCAACACATAGTCTTACTGTGAGAACACCAGACCCATCCTCCTCGCACTGCCATGGCAGGCCATCAACAACAGCAAAGTGAGGAACTGTCCTAGCCAAGAGGAGCCTAAGGAGGCATGATTAAATGTCAACGTGGAGGGAAGGGGGGAAGCAGCAGGAAAAGGACATTATGGAAAAGCTAAGGAAATCTGGTTAATGTATCAATATTGGTTCACTAAGTTGTGAAAAATACAACATATTAGTGGAAGATGTTGAGAGAGAGAACTGGGAGTGGGGTATAAGGGAACTCTCTCTACTATATTTGTCACTTTTCTGTAAATCTACAACTATTCTAAACTTTAAAACTGATTTTTAAATTTTCACGAAAAATTTGAGTAGAAAAAAAATAAACAAAATTTACCAAACAATAATTGCTTCTACTTTGAAGGAACTGGCTTAACACTGACATGTTCATAATAAAATGCTAAAAAGAATGGACAATATTAGGTTTCAGCTGAGCTGGGTGCAACATGTATTTGGTATGTTGTTTTCTAAATTTCTGTGTTCATTTGAGCCCTGGCCAGGGTAGCTCAGTTGGTTAGAGCATCATCCAGATATACCAAGGTTGAAGATTCAATCCCCAGTCAGGGCACGTATAAGAATCAACCAATGATGCATAAATAAGTGGAACAACAAATGGATGTTTCTCTCCCCCCACCTTCCAGCCCCCTCTCGCTAAAAATCAATTTCAAAAAGTTAAAAAAGAAAGTTTTGTGCTCATTTGAAGTATTCCATAAAAGGGTGAGCAGCCGCGTCAGCACAGCGTAGTGTCAGCACCCACACACACAACTTCTGGAGAGACAGGCAGATGCCTGCAGGTCAGAGAGCACCGTCTCACCGCCTGCAGCTTGTCCAGATTGTCCTGCAGCACCTTCTCAGTGTGCCTATAGGCCTTAGCCACCAGCATTCGAGCTTCCTGCAAATGAGAGGAGATCTGTAATGAGAATAGCTGACCACGATTCACAGTGTCATCTATAGGGTGGTTCTGACACCGAAGTACACCAAAGAAACACAGCCTTTTGTGTCTCACAATGACCAGGACAGCTCAGCTGCCAACAGTTTCAGGCCCCCATCCCACCCCTGGGAATGCCCTAGGTCAGGATGCTTGCCCACAGAAGTGACTCACACCTGGAGATGCCCCACCGTCTCCTGGAGATCAAGGACCCTGCATCTGTCCTCCATGCCCACAGCTGCCTCATGCTCATGTACCAGGCCAACTAGAGCTGCCCCAGGATGGGCTGGACACTGTCCTGGCCCAGTCCCCTGTGGACAATGCAGCATGTCCCTGCTGGCCACAGGGACCACTGACACTGGCTCTGTCATTGGATGCATTTATTTGATATTCTTCCCAGTTTCCCATCATCTACAGTTTCATCAGGAGCCACACAGGTCCTTATCTAAGAACACACACTCAGCAGGTCAGAGTGACAACAGAAGCCAGGAGGAACAGCCACAATGTGGGGGTTCCTGGACAGGGCACAGTGAGAGGCCTCCTCTGAATACAGAGACCTGCCCCCTACTACCACTGTGGGGTGGGATGGAGCAGGGGCTGGCGCAAGGTGTAGCAGTGAGGGCTATGCACTTACGTGGTCCATCATCTGTTGGAGGCCCTGGCTGAAGGGTCGCCGTCCAATGCCTGCAAGGCCCTCCTGAGCCTCAGGGAAGGAGACAGGCCCAATGCTGGGTGCCATCCCAAACTGCTTCACCATGGAGTAGGCAATACGAGTGACCTTCCTCAGGTCATCCTGCGCCCCTGGAGTGTGGGGTCAAGAAAAGGGTTCTTTGCTGGGGGTGCAAAGTCAGAGCACCCTGGGGACCCCACTGGCAAACACCTGGGCCTGACAGCAGATATAGAGTCCCCAGGGGACAACTGTATCCTGTTACTGTTCCTTAAAAAAGAGAGACTCAAAACTTTTAAAAATGCTCTTTTATCTAAAAAATTACTCTGGCCCTGGCGAGGTAGCTCAGTTGTTTAGAGCGTCATCCTGACATGCCAAGGTTATGGGTTCAATCCCCGGTTGGGGCTCATATAAGAATCAACCAATGACTGCAATGCATAAATAAGTGGAACAACAAATCGATGTCTGTCTCTGTCTCCCTCTCCAGCCCCCCTTGTTCTCTCTCAAAGCAATAAATAAAAATTTTAAAAATAAGAAACTAGTCGGGGTGCCTATTTGCATTCACTTCACCAGCAGTTCTCCAGCACGAGTCCAGGTGTGCACAAGGAACACTTGTCAACACTGAACCCAAAGTCTGGGATCAAGCAGGACAAGTCTCCTGCCTGCTCTCTGGCCATCCCAGTGAAATGACAGCTTGAGAACAGTGAAGTTGCTTGAATTACCAATAATTAACCAGTTAAATGCATTTATAGTCTACATGTTTTTGCAACAAATTATTTTAAAAGTCTTGCTTAGTTTCAAATCTCCTTTGACCACAGCTCATCTTTTAAAAAACACTTAATGAAATTCAAAGTATGTTTGCATCCTACTACTCAAATCCTTTTATCAGATTTACTCCCCCCAGCCTGCCCCCATGCAGAGGGATAATGGATGTAAAAGCACTGTGAGAAGTGCAGACCCTGCAGGGCCAGCTCCTCACCAGAAGTGACTTTGTTGAAGGAGATGGCCTCTGACACGCGGCCACCCAGGGCCATGCACATCCGCTCAAACAGCTGCTCCTTGGTGAAGAGGTGCTGATCTCTTGGGAGCATCTGAGCAAAGCCTAGTGCAGCATTTGTCCGAGGCGTGATGGAGACCTGCAGAACGTCAGGTGGCCCAAGTTAGGGCAGGATGTGGGCTTTAAAGATGAAGGTGGGAAATGTGAGATCTTTAATCAGAGGGCTTTACAGCCATCAAGCAAATCTGCACTATCCCTATTTAATAATAATAAGATACTATTATTAACGAGAAGGTTCACACACTGTGGGTGGTCTTCCTTGCACATTACTAGGTATATGTGAAGTGAAGAAGCACCAAGACAGGAGCTCTTAGGTGAACCAACCAGGAAGTGCAGGACCAACGCCACCAAGGACCGCCCCCACCATGGCCCCCTGACCAAGAGGTTATGTGGGGACATGGAAACTATCCTTGCCTTAGCCTCACCCCAGAGCCCAACACCAGGTGTTTGTACAGCTCCACCAGGACAAGGCCTGCTCCTGAGCAACAAGGAGAGACTTGGGCTGCAGGTGCCATTTCTGAGGGTTATGGCAGCAAGAGAACCACCTCACAGTGCCCTGAGAATCAGAAAGGGAAACTTAAAATCTAACACTAAAGTAAACTACAATTTAAAAGGCTAGAAATAACAACCAAACAGCAATGGGAACTTCATCTTTCCCTAGCAAAGTATGAGCCTCATGACAGAGGTTTTCTCATTATAACTGATTTATGACTTTCAGCCATCAAGTAAAGCAAAAATTCTGAGAAGAGGAACTTTTAAATTGTGATGTTGCCCAGCCGGGCATGGCTCAGCGGTTGAGCGTCGACCTAGGATCCAGGAGATCAGGGTTTGATTCTTGGTCAGGGCACATGCCCGGGTTGCGGGCTGCAGCCGATCAATGACACTCTCATCATTGATGTTTCTATCTCTCTCTCTCCCTCTCCCTTCCTCTCTCTGAAATCAATAAAGATAGCCTGGCCAGGTGTGGCTCAGGGGTTGAGCGTCCACCTAGGATCCAGGCAATCAGGGTTTGATTCCCGGTCAGGGCACATTCCCGGGTTATGGGCTCAATCAATGAGTCTTTCATCATTGATGTTTCTATCTCTCTTTTTCCCTCTCCTTTCCTCTCTCTGAAATCAATAAAGATATAGTAAAGAAAAAGATATATTTTAAAAAAATAGTGATATTTACTTCACTGTGGATTTTTCTGCATTAATATTTATTTTGTTGATATTGCATTAAAATATTTATCTTGACTACTGAATGTTTTAGTGTTCCATAAATATCACACCCTAAATGACTGTTCCACCTGCCTTACCCTGTGCCCAGTCCCAATCACCTACATCAGCGACTGCTGCATCCCCTTATGTCTGTCACAAAACACTAGATTCAGGCCTCTTATGAGCATATGAAAGGAACTGGCCTATTCAACAGGACATAATTAAACAACCCAGACTAGCAATCTACTTTGTGGCCCCAGCCGGGTAGCTCAGTTGCTTAGAGCATCGACCCGACATGTTCTAGTCCTGGTCAGGGCACATTCAAGAAGCAACCAATAATGCATAAGTAAGTGGAGCAATAAATCGATGTTTCTCTTTCTCTCAAATCAGTAAATAACAACAAAAAAACAAAAAGCAATCTACTTTGCTACACTACCACTGATTGTCAGACATTAAACACTAACATACATGCCCCAGCCAGTTTGGCTCAGTGGTTAGAGCGTCGGTCCTGGGACTGAAGGGTCCCAGGTTCGATTCCAGCCAAGAGCACATACCTCAGTTGCAGGTTCAATCCCCGGCCCTGGTTTAGGTACCTGTGGGAGGCAACCAGTCCATGTATCTTTCTCACACTGATGTTTCTCTTTCTTTCTCTCCCCCACACCCACCTTCCACTCTCTCTGAAAAGCAATGGAAAAAATATCCTTGGGTGAGGATTGAAAACAAAACAAATCACTAACAAATCACCAGGCTGCCAACTGCTACACTGTTCCCATGTTTAGGCCTTAGGGAAGGCGATGCAGCTCCTTCCCAGCTGGTGAAATCAAACCATCTGCATGGGCTCCCAGTGGCCCCACTGGCTCTGGTGGGGGGTACAATTACAACCCATGCCCTCACCTTTACGGACTGGACACCTGCATCCCAAACATTTACATTTTCCTTAATGTTCATTTAAGGATCTCATGGTCACGAATCCACGTATTTTGGGGCAACTATGATATTACCATTTGATACAAATAAATTTTCATCAAACTCACAAATGTCTACAAGAGTAGTGTTTTTTAAAAAGTGTGGCCTGGCCGGGCGTGGCTCAGCGGTTCAGCGTTGACCTAGGATCCAGGCCATCGGGGTTCGATCCCTGGTCAGGGCACATGAACGAGTTGCGGGCTAGACAGCTGATCAATGACTCTCTCATCATTGATGTTTCTATCTCACTTGCTCCCTCTCCTTTCCTGTCTCTGAAATCAATAAAAATATATTTAAAAAAAAAAAAGTGTACTAAACTCATTTCTTTTTAAAGATTAGGAATCATTAGGTCAACGTATTTTAGAGCTGGCAGTTCTTAATTCCAAGACTGACTACAGATGGGAAGCAAGACCCAAAATAATCATGTGGCTTTCAAATGGTCATGCCCATAACTGGACCCAACTGGTTTAGATGTAAGACCGCATCCGGCCCTAGCTTCCCAGATGAGGGATCCTGCATAGTCACCTTCCACCTGTTCCCAGGTTGACCACAGGCTGTGCTTTCTCTTCACCAAGCACAAACACGTGGTGCTCCCACAGTCAGCTTTGTTCAAGGGCCCCATCCTCTAAGACCCCAGACACCTTACCTTCATCACAGCCTCCGTGTGCTCCAGCAGCCAGCCAACCAAAGCGTGGCCTGACTCATGAAACGCAACCACCTTCTGCTCTTCCTTGGAGAGGATCTTGCTCTTTTTGGCCGTCCCTGAAAGAATGCCCAGGCCTCTGAGTTCAGGCCCACCAATAATCCTATGTAAGCATACAGGAACCTTCCTTGCTCGGCCTTGAAAGTTTTTTACCACGCTGTTAAGGCGAGATCCTCAAGGGATGGTCACCGCCTGTGTTTCTGCCCCAAGCTGACCCCATGCACGACTATTCCTCACCATTACTCCAATTCGAAGGGAAACTCATTAGGTATGAGAGGTGCTGGAGGGGCCATGTTTGTCCCCCTTCCACAAATGGTGGAAAAATTCAAACAGCTCCTGCAGGCTTTGTGGGTGGAGCTGCAGGGCTTACAGGAATTTAGTGTGGGGTCCACTCCAAAGTTCCAGGTTTCTTGTTGGCTCTTCTCCCAAAACTAGAAGGGGTAACTGCAGCCCCAGTGACTCTACAGCTCTTTCACCCTTAGAGTTGACGACCTCCTGCCTTGGTGACTTTACCTTACATTTCACCTGTTCAAATTACTGATAAGGTTTCACTCACTGTCCCAAATTTTCCAAACACCAACTTTCCATTTTATGCAACTTGAACAAGCTCTAGGTTCAGGGTATTTACTATACCATGCTACTAGGATCATCCACCACATTTGCCATAAGGTTATAAATTCTTCTAAGATGCGTTGGCTGTGGCAGATGAATCATTTCAACCAGAGCTGATTTTATGAGCCTCTAAACATGAGATCACAGCCTCACAAATGGGCTTTACCTAGACACAAACGTGTTCCAGCTCAGGCAGTCCCCACCAAAGTAAGGACAAGGGAGCTTGTCTTGTTCTAAGCACCGCATACATGGAGAGGGGCATGTACCAGGAATAGTATTGTTAGTATTTTCCTTGGTCTTTCCTGCTTTGATATTACTGTAAGTTTATCAATTTCCATGTAAAAATAAATGACTTATGCAAAACCAAAATTTATAGTAAGAAACAACAATTACAGTTCCTTCTATCCACACAAGTTCACCCCTCTCCCAAGCTGCAGCCTAGGCACCTAGTGGAATTTGTCCTAGATTTTAACTCAGACTGAGGGTGATGGGAACGTACTTCTCATAGGGACATTTATGACCGAGAGCTCAATACCTACACACAGGGCCCATGCTTCTCAAAGATCTGTAGGAAGGACCAGTTTCCCTGTTTTAAATTTTTAGCATCTGGGACAGCACTTTTGTTCTGAACCCTGTTCAAGAACAAGATGCACTACTCATGTCTGGATATTGCCCATGGAGTTACGAAAGCTTCTAGGTGCTCTCTCTCAGCTTCAGTCCTGCTCTCCTCTTAGAAGTCCACTGATCCCACTTTGAGCGGTAATGGCTAAGCACTGACAGAAGCACCCAGCCCCTCACTACGCAAACACCTCTCCCATTCTTGTCCCAAGTATAGCACAGGAGCTTCAGCAGAGATGGAGCTGACCGGGAGAGCACAGCCCTCAGCCGACATTCCCCTTGGGCATCAGCAGTGCAGACCCCGGACGACATGCACAGTGGACTGTCCATTTGCAGCTGGCTCTCAGGCACCACAAGAGGGCTAATGGGCTGAGCCCCACTCACATGAGGGTCTTCAAGATCCTTTTATATTTCTATTTGAAAAGTGTCTGCTCTTAAGCAAATTTGCAGTGTTTTAAGTCATACTGTCGAGACCTGACTTATAAAAAATAGAAATACTTCACGCATTTTCCTCTCGTCCAATGATTCCTTGCTGATAAGGTTCACCATGTGACATCTAAACCTGACTTGCCCCCTCCATCCCACCCTCCGAGTTCACTTTTGGAATTCATGCCTCATACCCGCAATGACACGCTCCACGGCGTACTCAAAGTTAAACGTGTGAACAGACGTGTGCCCTTCCCGTGCAGCGTGCAGAGCAGCTTCGTTACAGATGTTGGCGATGTCAGCACCTGTGAGCAAAACAGGGGATGGCAGGGGTGTTGGCTCTGCTCCCTCCGGGATTGAGAGGAGGAAAGGGAAGGATGATCGCATAAACAGATGAAGGGGGTCAAGGGGCGAAGGCGTGGTGGGGGCGAGCACCAGTGCTCCGGCTCTATCAGACCCAAGGAACCCCCTCTTCACATCCACTCCAACACCTTTCAGTCTTTCTGCCTTCACCACTGCTTTACTACATAGCTGTTATCACCACACTTCCATGTACCATGTGGTGCTTTATTCCACCTAATATAATAACTCATGTGTACACTGATGGATAGGAAATTTGCCCTGGCCAGGGGGCTGTTACTTGGAGCATCGTCTTATACACCAAAAGGATGAAGGTTCGATTCCCAGTCAGGGCACATACCAAGGTTGTGGGTTTGACCCCTGGTCCAGGGAGCAAATGGGAGGCAACAGATAGATATTTCTCTCTCACATCGATGTTTCTCTGCCTCTGCCCCTTCCTCTCGCTCTAAAAATCAAAAAAAGTATCCGTGAGAATTAAAAACAACAGATAGCCTGACTGATGTGGCTCAGTTGGATGAACGCTGTATCACACACCAAGAGGTGACCAGTTCGATTCCCAGTCAGGGCACATGCCCAGGTTGCGGGCTCCATCCCCAGTAGGGGGTGTGCAGGAGGCAGCAGGTTGATGTTTCTATCTCTCCCGCTCTCTTCCTCTCTATCTAAAATCAATAAAAAAGAAAACGTATTAAAAAACAAAATAAAAATTAATGGGGTTTCCTGCCAAAAAAATTAAAAATTAAAGGTTGTCTAGTATCCAAAAGATTCTAGTTAAGGACATTAAAAAAAAAATCAAAAGAAAAAATGTACATTGCCCTTTATATATGGGAAAAATAATTTTGTTTCATTAAAATTTTATGAGTTTATTTAGGCCAAACTGATGACAACTACCAGGAAGCAAAAACTCAACGGACTGAAAAAATGCTTCCCCCAAAATCTTGATTTGTAATGCCTGTGTTTATGAATTAAAACAGACCGTGAGGGAGGGCAGTGGTACACCTGGGCAGTGACAAGGCTTAGCCATGGCAGCACCTGGTGGGAGGAGCAGAATCTCATGATCCGAGATGGACAGGAACAGTAGAGCCTGTGTGGAGAGCCCTAAAGGCAGAAGTTCTAGGACTGCCCATAGTGGGGACACAGACATGGGGCAGTCTAAATGCAGGCGACAGAACCAGTGTTGGGTTTTCCACCAGTGGGGGAGGAAAAGTAAAGGGCTGTGCAGTTCTTCTATCTCCTGCCTGCTCTGTGTGCACAACCTCCCTCCCAACCAGGCTGTCCTGCCCAGAGGAGGGGAAGGAGGGCAGCTGGGGGAGGCCTGCACTAGTGTGTGCATGCAGGAAAGACCACCTGCCCTCTGCCCTCAGGACCAAGAACCAGCTCCCATACCGCTGAACCCCGGTGTGAGCTCTGCCAGATGCTGTGAGTAAAAGCTGCTGGCCTGGGTCAGCTTCAGGCTCTTCAGGTGCTGCTCGAATATCTCCCGCCTTTCCTACCAAAGACAGGGGAGGAGACACAAGTGTGGGCCAGCACGTCTGCCTACGTGGTAGACAGGAGCCACTTGAGAGGCACGCTCCAGAGTTTCTTCAACATTAGTCATGACCATAGTTTGTGAAAACAATTTAGAGTTGCAAGCAGCATTGCAAAATGAAAAGGAAAAAAAGGAAACAGAATAGAAAATAAAGGGCATCAAAATAACAAAGTTATTTTTTAGAACCTTGGATTCACGTACATCCTGATGTGTAAACGTTTCCTACAGTCAGGGAGAGGGACAGCCACGCCTCCAGAAGCCATGTCAGAGGGCAGACTCACTCCATTTCTTACATGAAGCAGCAGTTTGAGAGGAGAACCCAGAATGAGCACTAGGTGTGCACAAACCACAGCCCTGTGCCCCCACGTGTTACCTACAGGAACAGTAACCAACTAGCCAACCGTTAGGTTCACCCTCCAAACCCTGTCCCTACCCATGGTGGTCTCCATCACACACATGATCCTTTTATCACTACACACTGGGTTCCTGCTCCCTCAGGGGCCACCACAAAGGCCTGGCCACCCAGAGGTGGACATCCAACCAGAGGACCAAGATGAAGGAGGCTGGTGGGGCCGAGAGGCCACTAGGTCTTCTACCCCCTTCCAACCTGCTTTCAGGGCAGCTGCACAGCTCATGCTCCACGACTATGTGACAGCAAGGACTTGAGCTGGTCAGGATGAGAATTCTGAGGCTCTCCAAAAAACATGCTACAAAACTCAACTGAGCCCAGTCCATTCAACCCTAGATACTTAAGGATAAAGGGAAAAACAATGCGGGTAAACAAAAAACAAGCTGCAAAACGATGAGAAGAGCGGTGAGCCACAGAAAGTCTGGACAGACAAGCACCAGAGGTAAGCAGCAGCTGCATCTGGGCCAAGGAGGGCATCCAGAGGCCACACAGACCTGCAGTGTGGGGAGGTCGATGAAGACATGTCGGTCCAGTCGGCCTGGCCTCAGCAGAGCATTGTCCAAAATGTCAGCTCGATTGGTGGATGCCAGGACGATGACATGGTCGGTGGTGCCCATTCCTGAGGGACAGACAGCAGCCTTTATGGTGGAGACCCCCATTACTGTGGGCTTCCCCATAGGGTTCAAGACACAGGGCAGGAGAGATATCTTTCCAGAGTCCCTGAGAGAGGACTACAAACACGGACCCAGGATTGATCCTTCCGAGAGCTTTCTACCAAGATCACCGTGAGAGCAAGAACCCGCCAGTTTTACTTCCCCCTGATGGGAACCTGGGCTCTGCTATCCACGGCGATCCTCTAAGTCTACACAGCACCCCTGGAGGGACCTGGGAGCAAGGGCCCTCCTCTTATGCTTCATCACTGCATTTCCTTGAGCCACAGTGACCACCACAGGGACATCTGAGACTTTCTACCTCTAACACCTGGTCTGAAGGCCTGGGTTTTCTGCCCCAGGTTTCTCACAGGAGAATCTAAAAGTCCAGAAATCATCCCAATGACCAGAAACCATCCCAATGAATGGCCCAGATCTGCAACTGCAAAAACATCCTTATGAAGCAATCGGGGATATTAGATGGTATGAATTTATTTTTAATTTAAGTTATATGATGTTTCTCTGAATGTAGAGAAATACATTTGGAGTATGTAAGGTTTAGAACTTTGTATGGACCCCTTGCTCCAGGGCCTGGTTATATGGACCACAGGGTGTAGACCTCCTAGGGTTTTGTTTTTGAAATTTTATGTTTTGATGGCCCTGGCTGGGTAGCTCAGTTGGTTAGAGTATAATCCTGATTTGCCTAGGTTGCAGGTTCAATCTCGGGTCAGGGCACATACAAGAATCAACCAGTGAATGCATAAATGAGTAAAACAACAAACTGATGTCTCTCACTCCCTTCCTCTCTGAAATAAATTTTTTAAAAAAAGGAACTTCACGGCTTAAACAAGTATTAATGTAAAATGGGTCCTAGATTAAAATGGAAAAGGCCAGCCTGGCTGGAGTGGCTCAGTTAGTTAAGCATTATTCCATGAACCACGAGGTCACTGGTTCAATTCCTGGTCAGGGCACATGCCTGGATTTCAGGCTTAATCCTCGGTACGGGGTGTGCGGGAAGCAGCCAATCAATGTTCCTCTCTCACATCAAAGTTTCTCTCTCTCTAAAATAAGATAAAAAATGGAAAAGGCCACATGCACAGTAGGGGTTTCTAAGGACTCCATGCAGGATCAGAGCTTACGTCCTCCCACACTTTGTAACACAGAGGTTCGGACAAACACATCCCTCACACAGGGCACTTAGTGCAAAGCCTTCTTTCTGGCAATCAAACTGTAAAAAGGGGGACTGCCTGCCCGGCTGGCATGGCTCAGCAGTTGAGCATTGACCTGTGATCCAGGAAATCACAGTTTGATTCCCGGTCAGGGCATCAAGCTGCAAGTGACTGTCTGCAGTTTGCTCAGCTGGGCCCAGCGCTCTTAGATGCAGGTGCCATTCCCACATGGTCTGGCGGTTCTGCAGGGCCTACTCTGCCTGACCCATGAGCTAGGGACTTCTCTTCCTCTGAGCTTTTCCCACGACCAGCACAGCATCTGCTCTGCGCTCTGTACTTCAGTGAATAGACACTGCTCTTCCCCAAGGAGTAACAAAGACTCTTCAGACACAGCTGAAGGGCTGAGAATGACCAGTTGTGTCTGTGCACACAGAGGCTTGTTTGCTACTCGCCTAGCCCAACAAGAGGCCTTCAGTCAGGGATTCTGGGCATGAGTAAATCCTAGGGCGGAAGCAGCTCTTTTCATGGCAGCACAGAGAGGTTCAGCTCAGAGGAAGATGCCATCTGGTAAATGCTTCCTGGTGGGCTAAATGCTTCCTGGTGGGCTCAAGCCTTCCCAAAAAGGTGGTCTCTGTGTTCAGTGAAAAAAGCAATAAGGGACAGATGTGCAGTGCCTCCATGGCTCAGTCACAGTGAGAGCCAGTGGGAGTCCCTTCATAATCATCAGGAATGATGCTGTCACACTCAGAAGGGTGCAGAACCACAGGTGAGGTCATGAACTTTAACTTCATTGTAACATCAGAAAACCATGGTTTAGAGAAGGACTGGTGTGAATCCTGCAGCATCCTTCCACAGTCCAAGAGCACGCGGGGGTCCAAGACTTGGACAGTGATCTGACAAACGTGGACATCACTGCATCCAGCAGGGTGGTGGGACTTGATGACAAAGTTTGGACAGTAATAATTATCTGACGACTTTCAAAAGACTTCTCCCCTTTGTCCATTCAATATCACAAAGGTTAGTCATTATTTTAACGAGACAACCAGAAGCTACAGTTAAAATCTGGCACTTCTGGCCCTGGCCGGTGTGGCTCAATTGAGACTGAGAGGCACCATCCCATGTACCAAAAGGTTGCTGGGCCCATTCCCAGTGAGGGCACATCCCCGGATCGATCCCAGTAAAGGGTGTGCAGGCGGCAGCCGATTAATCTTGCACTCTCACATCAATGTTGCTCTCTCTCTCTCCCTCTCCCTTCCTCTCGCTCTAAAAATGAATACAAATATTTTTTAAAAAAACAAAATCTGGCACTGCTGACAGCAGAGTCATCACATACACAGTGCTGGGTCTCAGGATGGTCTGTCACAGCTGTCAGCAGACCTCAGGCTCCCACACCCTCAGCCCTGGCCCATCTCCACCAACTGCCCACCTGACCCATCAATAGCCAGGACCTGAGAGGTCTTTCAGATTCCTTCAGGACTAGAAAACCACCTCTGGAATAATCAAAGCCACACTGAAGATGAAACACCACTAAGAGATCATGGAAAACTGTTCAAAAGAGAAGCAATTCCATATGTTTCTTAAAAGTTGGAGACCCAGAGAGTAACTTAATTTTTTATTTTATTTTTATTGATCTGAGAGAGGGATAGGAGAGGGAAGAAAGGGAGGAGAGAGAGAGAGGCCTCAATTTGTGGTTCCACTTATTTATGCATTCATTTGTTGATTTTTTAAATGTTTTTATTAATTTTAGAGAGAGCAGAAGGGAGAGGGAAAAAGAGAGAAACACCAATATGTGAGAAAAACACTGACCGGTTGCCTCCCATACCGCAATCAGGGACTGAACCAGCAACCTGGGCATGTGGCCTGACCAGGAATCAAACCGGTGACCTTTTGGTGCACAGGAAGATGCTCAACGAATTGAGCCATACTGTCCAGGGATATTGGTTGATTCTTGTACATGCCCTGACTGGGGGATCAAACCAGCAACCTTGGAGTTTCAGGATGGAGCTCTAACCAACCGAGCTACCTGGCCAGGGCAGAGGGTAACTTTTTAAACTATAAAATAGTGCCTCACTTGAAAAGGTCTCAATCGCCACAGCTGGGCACTGGGTGGAGGAACAGTCAGAGTGGTTCTTGCACATATGACCCCAGGGTAAGGGTCACTGGAACCTGGCCTAGAAAGTACATTTCTGAGTGTGTGTCTCTCAACAGCTCGCTCTACTTACATCTGTAAAGACACTGAGGTTTTGGAAAATTCCTTCTCAGGAAAGCTTGCTGTTCATGTGGAAGGTAGCTCTTTAGCTCTTGTTTGTGCCATAAATAGTCCCTGAGTAAATACTGATGGACAACTGGATGGAAGACAAAGAGGGGATGCAGGAGGTCTGCAAGGCAGCTCCAAGGGGAACCATGCTTACAGTGTAACAACGCACCCCTTTCCTCAGCTTTGTTAGAAATTATACCTTGATTTTAAAACCAGAGAGCTTACAGAGCTTACAAAATGTTTCCATATGCATCAGTCCATCTGACCTGCTCAATAATGTGTGAGAACAGGCCTCACCATGCCCACTGGAGGCCATCTCAGTCAGAATCTCAGCACCAGAGACGAGGCACTAGTGATGCCATGTGCAGTGAGGAACACCAAGACTGCTATGTTGTTCCTGCCAAAAATGCTCAATTCAACCTGAGAACACAGCACAGCATCACAGTGGGGACATCCTTTAATGGGACTGGTCTATTAAAGTGTCATTGTTGCCCTAGCCAGGGTGGTTCAGTTGGTTGAGTGTTGTTCCATGCACCAAAAAGTCACCGGTTCAATTCTTGGTCAGGGCACATGCCCAGGTGGTGGGTCTCGTATTGATGTTTCTCTCTCCCTCTCCCTTCTTCTGTCTCTAAAATCAGTAAAAAACATTAAGAAACAATAATAATAATATATAAATAGAGTGTCATGATCACACACACAAAAAGAGACAGAACCAGTCCCAGGCTAGAAGAGACCAAAGAGACAGGACAACTAAATATGACGTGTTGGCGCACTGGCTCTTGGACCAAAAAAGGCACATCCATGGACTGAGAGGCGACCTTTGTGGACACCTAGATTCCAGTCACAGACATGTCAGCCTTTGAAAGCTTGAGGGAAGGTATAAAGGAACTCTTCTGACTGCTTCTACAATGCTTTTATAAGTCTGGAATTACTTCAAAATGAGAGGTTAAAAAAAAGTTTCGCCCTTAAGTCACGTACAATCAAACTCAACTGTCCATATGCTAAATAACAGATATACAATCCAAATAGTAAGATCACTTTAAAAGGGAAAATACACAAACAAACAATTCTCTTAGAACCAAAAATACATTGAGAAAAAAGTGTCTCCCTCATCTACAATAGCTAAAATAAACTAGGATTCTGATGAAAATAAAGCTGAAAATGGATCTTACATAGCTGGGACATGAAGAGATATCTGTGTGCCCGTGTTCACAGCAGCATTACACACAATAGTCAAAGTGTCCACCAAAAGATGAATGGATAAACAAAACACAGTCTATCTATACAAGGGGTATTATTCAGTCTTTAAAAGGAAGGAAATTCTAACACATGCAACAACATGGATGAACCTTGAGGACATTATGCTCAGCGAAATAAGCCAGTCACAACAGGATAAATACTGTATGACTCCATTTATACAAAGTCCCTAGAATAGTCCAATTCACAGACAGAAAGTAGAAGGGTGGATGCCAGGGACTGGAGAGTTAGTGTTTAATGGGGACATAGTTTCAGTTTGGGATGAGAAAGTTCTGGAGATAGGGTGGTGGTGATGGCTGCCCAACAATAAGAATGTACTTAATGCTACTGAACTGTACATTGAAAAAATGGTTAAAATGGTAAATTTTATGTTATATGAATACTTCACCACAATAAAAATAAATATACCATATCTATACACACAAACACAAAAAGAGGACCTTAACAAAGTAACTCAAAAGAAAATAATTCCATGTCACCTTTACTGGGTCATTCCCATTAAAAAAAAGAAAAGGAAAAGAGTTGTGCGGAAGCCAGTCCAGAGGTCATTTTCAAGGGTGGCAAACACAGAACCTCCCTCTACGCAACAGACACATCAGCTTCCATGAACGTCCTGCTCCACCCTCCAGCGGTCGCCCTTCAACCGGGACAGCATATAGACACACACTACAACACAATCAACTAGGTGCATTCAAGACTGAAAAGCATTGCTGCGGCCTCACCCGCCGATTGTATTCCCAGTTTTTCTTTCTTTCTTTACTATCCCCTTGACTTTTTAAAACTAAAAGCTGTGTTTCTTGAGTGCAGCAAGATGATGAACAGCTCTTAAACTGACCTTGTTCCTAGTTATGATCTGCTAAACAATGATTCTCTACATGCTGATCTTGCCTCGCCTACAGCAGGTGGGACGGTAGAGACACAGTACAGACCAATGGTTGGAGAAAAATGAAATGCCTGCTAGCATAGGAGTAAGGTTCTGGAACAATGAACCTAAGCAGCACGATCTACATAGAAAACGACTGTTCTGGAAGAGCTGAAAACCCTCCTCCTCGTGCAGAGGCAACCGGGGAGGGTGCTCACCGTCCATTTCCACCAGTAGCTGGTTGAGAGTCTGCTCCTCCTCTGTGTTGGAGAAGCCAGACATGGTGGTGGAGCGCTTCTTGCCCACGGCGTCGATCTCATCAATGTAGACGATGCAGGGGGCCCGGGCGCGGGCCTCCTTGAAGAGGCTCCGCACTCGGGCAGCGCCGAGGCCTGAGGGGACACAGAGGACCAGGAAGCAGACAAGTAATGGGAGATGAACCCTACCCTTGGGCCAGGGGCTAGAGCTGCTCAGTAAGGATGAAATCTGAGCAAGCGTCCACTCATGCAAGCAAAACCAGGCCCCATCCGAGCAGAGGTCAACCTAGAGGATGTTCACCCTCCTGGGACCACAAGTGGAAGCAGCTTCAAAGATATCACCCAATTCTCTACATAAACACAATGCTTCCCAAAAGTCAGGTTTTGTTTTTCCTTCTCTATTCCCCCCATTTCCTCATTAATTCAGCCACCTGAGGGAGAACGCGTGAAAGAAGGGCCATCCTGAACAATGGTCAGGCGAGTTTGTCTGCAGCCACCCAAGCAATGCCTACCTCCAATGACCTCCACAAACTCTGAGCCGGCCATTGCCAAGAAGGGCACCTGGGCCTCCGTCGCCACAGCCTTGGCCAGCAGTGTCTTCCCACAGCCGGGGGGCCCAAGCAAAAGTGCACCCTTTGGGACTTTGGCACCAAGCTGAAGGAAGCGCTCTGGGCTCTAGAAAGCAGCAGATAATGTGACACTAACTACATGCTTTTCAAACATAATTTTCAAGAAATGAATCCCCTGAAGGTCAATTCATGTACTGACATGAAGCAGCTATGGTGCCCATGGTTCTGGGAAAAGCCAGTGTCCCAGAGGCTTTGAGTCCAATCAGTGGTTGACTATCAGCCCTTCTGCTGGTCAACAACTGTGCATTTAGCCTGTGCTGCCAGTTTAACAGGCACCAGCATGTGTGGCACACGTATTCCCTACCTTAGCACAGAGAGCTCACCACGCAGCACACACATCTGATTAATGTAGTTCTCCCCTCTGGGAGAGTGTTCATGCCCATCTCCTCTCAGCAGAGGGGCCAGGAAGGTGGGGCCAAGGTGTGCTTACCTTCAGATAATCCACAAACTCTTTGACCTCCAGTTTGGCTTCATGCATTCCTGCCACATCTTTGAAGCTGACTCCCTTCCCCATCTTGCCATCCACAATTGTGAAACGAGCCATTTTGAGCTGGTTCTAGACACAAAAAACAAAGGGCAGGGCGCTGTGTACTCTCAGAGCTAGAAGATGAGAGCCTTGGTGCTGGCTCTGTTTGTCCTGCCCCTGCATCCCCACCTCCTCACTTCTGGAGGATGTCATGGATGCTCCTCCCACCACCCAGAAGGACCAACCCACACCCTTTCCACTTGTGCAGGCAGATGGCAGTTAAGGTCGCATTTCAGACACACAAGGAGAAATGTTTATTTTGCATCATAAACAGTAAGAAAGCTGTCTAGCATCTATCAATTTGCCTTAAAAAATAAAACCAAAACTCCTCCACACAAACTAGGTAATTTAACAATGTCTTTTGCATAAACTATCTTATATTCTATGTGAATTTTACCACTGCTGCGCATTTCTGATTGTAAAAGTAATGTAAATACAGATGATGTATTATAGAATTGTACACCTGAAACCTATATAATTTTATTAACCAATGTCACCCCAATAAATTCAATAAAAAATTTTAAAAAGTAATGTAATAACACTCATCTAGGAAGTTTTGGTAAAAATGTTAATTGGTAAATTTCTGAAGAGCAATCTGGCAGGATAGCTAAAGGTCTTAGAGAGGTGCATAAATGTCGGCCAATCTACTTTTAGGAAGGCACACAAGACAAATACTTAGAAAGGCACTCAAATGATGCATGTGCATAGAAGTCATCACAGTATCCTTTGAATACAACAATAAAAATAAACGGCCAAAAATACACAAGAATTATCAAATTGGTTGAGTAAAATATGGTACAACCCCACAAGACACCATGCTGCCATTAAAAGCAAGGGTGTTAAGTCTTAAGCTACAGACATAGGAATAGGGTCCTAGTCTAAGAGGAAACTAGGAGGTAATAACACTGCATCTGTTACAGGGCACCTTCTGCTCCCCCTGTCAAAGTTCCCAGCATGGAAGCAGGAGATGCCCTCTGCAGACTTGGTCACACCTCCCTCTGCTAATGTGGCTAATTGGCCACATACAACCTGATAGGATGGGGAAGTGCATGTTATGCCAAATGCCACAACAACAGAATATTTTTAAAGTGTATTGTAGATGTTCTTTTAAACACAACCTTTAAAATCTCTCAGCGTAGCTAGTAGAGAAACCAAAAACAGTCATGCCCAGTTAATGTTGAAGACTGCAGAATAAGCTGCCTTATAAACTCCCTTGGCTCAGCCACCCCACTAGTCAAGGAAAGGGGACCTCAGTGAAAGCTGATTACTGTACACCTTCATCAACCAAGCAGAAGATGAACTGCCAAATTATGGCTCCTGGCTGGCCTCTGCAACAGGTTCATTTTCACTGTATATTTATATTCTGTTATTTATGGGAAAAGCATTCAGCCAGAACACCCACCCAAATCCTAAGACTGTAAGTTCAGTGAGATGTGATTTGTACAACTTACAAAAGCACTGAATCCTCCTTCCCTTCCAGTCATTCCAGCCAAACGAAAAATATACCACAGGATGGCCAAGCCCACCGCTGTCATCCCCAAGGCGTAGAGGGCACTAGTGCAAGAAAGAGAGGCAGTTATAAGCTCAGGAGTGGCAGCTGGGCAGGCAGCTTACAATCTTGCTTTACAAAGTCAGGGACCAGGGGCAACGGACATTTCAAAGATGAGAAGAGCTACCCCTCTGAGAGCAACATGTAGAACAAACGGTTGTGAAAATGGGTTTCCTTGTCCAGTTTTCACCAAATACCCTTTTTCATAAAGTTTTCCAAAACTGTCAGATGGAGTGTGGAAACACTGGAGATACAGTATATATAACCTTGGTGTGAAGCCAGAATAGCTGATGCCACACACTCACTCTGTTATCTAGAGCCTTGTGATAACTAACAAACCAACAAGAGCAGGTTTCAATGTTCAATAAATTTTGTTTTCAAAAGGAGGCCATTAATTTTGTTTACTAAGTTAGGATAAGCCTAGAATAATGAGTACACCCTGGTTTAGGCCCTAGCCAGGTAGTTCAGTTGGTTAGAGTGTCATCCTGATACACCAAGGTTGTGGGTTCAATCCCCAGCAAGGGCAAATACAAGAATCGGCCAACGAATGCATAAATAAGTGGAACAACAATTCTGTTTCTCTCTCTCTCTCTCTCTAAAAATAAATCAATAAAAAAAATAAAAAGAGTACACCCTGGGATGTCAGCCCTTCACTTGAAAAGGGGAAGCCCCCAGTCTGCTTTGTACCTATTATTCCTACGACAAACCAGAGGTGAAGCCTCAGAGCCCTGTGCCTTCAGGAGCCAGTGGGTTGTAGAAATTAGAGACACATCATTTCACAGATGTGCTTGCCAGTCACTGAGTCTCATCAGAATTACAAAGCATGTCCATGAGTCAACAGTAAACCTCTCTGCACATGGCTTTCAGCCACTGTTGGTCCCAGCATGCAGTTAGAGCCCCCCAACTATACTGATTAATCTGCTTCCAGTAAGGAGTCTGCAGGTCTGTAGCCTATGGTCTCTATTTCTTTCTGCAACACGAAACCAAGAATTTCTGCTGGATATCCATGCTTCTCCCCTTTCTATTCCATTTTCCTATTTGTAGAAAGCAGCAACCCACAATGTGCTAAATTCATAAATGCAACCAGACAACTAAAGCAAGTGACTAAGACAAATTCCAACAGGCTCACACATTTCCAAATTTCCCAGTACTATGTTGTTCACCCATACATTATTTAACCTCCCACAAGAAGGTCTAGTTAACTGGGGGCTCTAGGTTAACTGTAGGAAGGAAGTTTGAAATTTTTGTTTGTGGTTTGTTTCTTGCATTACAAAGCGAAGCCTGGGTCAGTTCAAGGGCCAACAAAATTGACCAACATACTTTCCAAAGAATCCCGTACGCTTATAGGAAACCGGGATCCTGTCCTTGCCTTCGATATTCAGCTCATCTTCAGCCGCTCGAAGCTTCTCTTCAAATTTGTCGATGTTTGCCACCTGCATTCGGTACATCAAAGCCAGCCTCTGGGGGCAGAAGACAGAGGAACTATGAAAGTGATGAACAGGACAGACTGCCAATACCCAAACATACAGATGTCATTCAGAAACTACTTCCACATCTAAAAAACTTCAGATGTCTCAAATACAACTACAACAAAATTTTAATATATATGCTTTCTTTTATTTTCACAAATAGGAACATTCTAAGAAAATGGACAGATGCATTTGCATGTTAAACTCGGCACCCTGCCCCACTTAACCATGGGTACACTGTGACAAGTCTGCACTACTGGATTGGGGACACAGTCCACTTCCTAAAGTAATGATATGAAGGTGTGTGTTTAACCATTGACTGAATCCGAAATTCAACTGAGTGGGTATCTCTTTTCTCAGTAAACCTTTCCCAGACAGAGAAGAGACTAAGGAAGAGTGAGCCCACAGAAAGTTTCCTAAAGTGAAATCACTGCCTTCCCCAGGTATACAGGCTTCACTGAGAAGGAAGCTCAAAACCAGTCTAGGAATCAACGCTGAGTCCCCAAGTCCCTTCTCAGTGAGTTGACCTGGTCACAGGGATTGATTGCTCCTGGGCTAGTCTGAAGCCTCCACAGAAGAAACATCTGTACAACCCTCAAGTGGCAGGAGCACGGGTGGGACAGAAAATTTCTTGCAGGTAACTGTCACCATGAGAGCAACCAGCCAGGCTCCACTTCGCGGGGTAATAGGCCAGATGGAGAGGCAGACAAGAGGACCCACCAGTCACAACACAGTGACCATGACCTGTGCTGGAACACTTGCTGGCCTCGGTTGCTGAACAAGTCAGAGAAAGACAAATACAATATCATTTTACTTATATGTGGAATCTAAAAAACTAAACAATGAACAAACAAAACAAACAGGCTCATAGATATAGAAAAACTGATAGTTGCCAGAAGGGTGGGAGTGATGGGCAAAAGGTGAAGGGTATTAAAAGGTACAAACTTGGCCCGGCCGGGCGTAGCTCAGTGGTTGAGCGTTGACCTAGGATCCAGGCGATCGGGGTTCGATTCCCGGTCAGGGCACATGCCTCGGTTGTGGGCTCGATCAATGACTCTCTCATCATTGATGTTTCTGTCTCTCTCTCTCCCTGTCCTTTCCTCTCTCTGAAATCAATAAAGATATATTTTTAAAAAAAGGTACAAACTTGTAACTACTTAACAAGTAAGTCACAGGAGTGTAAAGTATAGCATGGGGCATACAGTCAATAATAACTTTGTATGGTGACATATGGATACTGGATTTTTTGTGGTGATACTTCATAAGGTATATAAATGTCAAATCACTATGTTGAACACCTGAAACTAATAGAATATTAAAGGTCAACCATACTTTAACTTAAAAGACAGCTTTCTAGTCCTGAATGAAAAAAAAAGAGAAAGAATATATTCTGGTATCAATGTTACCTTTCTTGGACCTAACTATGGTGCTGTGGTTACTGGAGAATGGAAGGGAATCAGACACTGGAAAGAGTGATTCATTTGTGCCCAGGGTTTTCACATAGTCAAGCTTATGGGGCCCAGTTTCCATATGCCTCATCTCATTTCCCAGCAGTGCCAGACAACTAGGCCACTGTCACTAGGGTGCATCTTTCCCCATCTTTGATGCCTAACCGCCTACATGGTATGAAGTCCCACACTCCTGACCCCTCTGTAGTATCTGCCACCTCTCTGGCTAAAGCACTACTCTCCAGTTCTGACCATGTTGGGGTTCTCTCTCTCCTGGGGGCAGGGGGGAGTGCCTGAGCTGGGAGATGAAAAAGGTCCCTCATTCCCTTTCTTTCTTGTTCCTGTCTGAGGGCCAGCCTTTGCTGACTTCAGTCTTTTAGCTACCCACTCACAGTGCTCTTTCCTGCCCCCACTCTGACCCCCCCAAGAGATTTCTGCTTAGCCAACCCCTAGTCACCTTACTTCTCCTGCATCTGCCAAAGCTACCCTATCTGCTGACCTCTGGCCAGCACTGCACCACTCGCCCAAACCAACTGAGCAAAACCTCAAGACTGAAACTGGCTCCTACTCCTTAGTCCCTAGTATCTGGCAGTCACCACTGTGGCCACTATGTTACTACTTCCACTACTTCCAACTCTTCCTCTTGGCGTGTAGGCATCATAGTAGCTGCAGACCCCACTAGCTTCTCTCTGGAGACAACACTGCCTCTCCCCATTCCAAGCTCCGTCTTAGTGGGCCATCACTCAAAAACCTTCAACAAATCCTCCTTTAAATCAAGATATTCACATCTTCTTTTAAGAAAACCTCAAATAAGACAACTAAGACAATGCGGTGGGCAGGGACTGAGTGAAAGGGGGATGCACACATGCCCAGGTCTTCCCACGCTCATGCCCTCGCCATCACTCACAGGCCGCCCGAATACCACAGCTCCAGGGTACAGGTACACTTCCACCACGTCACTCTCAGGCACCACCTGGACCCGCTGCACCTCGCCCTTAGCCAGCATCTCGTTGACAAAGTCATTCCAGGAAATGTTGCCCCCGCTGGTGCTGAGTGCATTGAGCAGGCTCATGACAACGGCGATGACGAACAACGTGCGCAGCCTCTCACGGTACATCTGGTCCTCCCTCTCCTTGCGCTTCCTTTCCTCTGTAAGCAGGGATCATAGGAGTGTTAGATACAGGCTACAGGCCAAGCTTCCCTCTATGTCTTACAACCTTTCATCAGGCAAGCTCAACACTGAGACAGTGGTGTCTCATCTCCCATAAGATCGTACATCTTGGCATATTTTTCAACAAAGTGATTCGAGACAAACACTAGTCACAAGCAATTCAAAGTCACCAACATTCCATTCAGGGTTCCCACCAGCTTAGATAATATGAAACCATTTTTAAAGTCAAAAAGCTTCCCAGGCCCTGGCCAGTGTGGCTTAGTTGGTTGGGCATCGTCCCTGTCCATTGAAAAGATTGCTGGTTTGAATCCTGGTCAGGGCACATGCCTGGGTTGGGGGCTTGCAGGAGGTAGCTGATCGATTCCCAGTGGGGGCGTGCAGGAGGTAGCTGATCAATGTTCTGCTCTCACATTGATGTTTCTCTCCCCCCAAAAAATCAAATAAAAATCTTTTAAAAAAAAGGGCTCTGGTCAGTGTGGCTCAGTTGGTTGAGTATTGTCCCATGCACCGAAAGGAAGCCAGTTCAATTCCCAGTAAGGGCACATACCCAGATTGTGGATTCGATCCCGGGTCAGGGTGGGTGTGTGCAGGAAGCAACCGATCGATTTTTTCTCTCTTACTCTTTTTCCCTCTCCCTTCCTCTCTCTCTGAAATCAACAAAAACATTTAAAAAACACACACACAAAAACTTCCCAGGACCACCACAAAGTGCAGCTACACAGTAAACCCCTTCACTGAAAACACATTGACACAAGCTATAATGAATTCAGGTATTCCAGGTTCCAGGTTTGATTAGATACTAGACATCGACAGAGTACTTATGACATGTGTAAATTATTAATAACAATAAAACAAATACGTTTTACCACCACCTGCCTTAAGGGATAATACCTTTCCAATCCCTCTGAAGACCCCATGTGCCCTCCACAACTATGTTGTTATTTATCATAATGAGTAACATTCAAATAAGTTTTGTCATTCATCACAATAACATTTAAAAATACTGCATTTAAAAAGTATAGGATAGCCCTGCCTGGTGTGGCTCAGTTGACTGGAGTGTCGTCCCATACACCAAAGGATCGCCAGTTCGATTCCCAGTCAAGGCACATGCCTAGGCTGCGGGTTCAGTCCCTGGTCGGGGCATGTACTGGAGGCAGCCGATCGATGTCTCTCACATCAATGTCTCCCTCTCTCTCTCTCCCTCTCTCTCTCTCCTTTCCTCTCTCTAAAAATCAATCAACATATATTTTTAAAAGTACAAGATATATTGTTTAGTCATGAGACATATATTGGGGACCACTGAATTCTAAACTATTCTCAAAGAACAATTCCTTCTCAGATTCATCAGATAAATTCCCCCCAAATCACATTTCTCAGTTATTAATAGCCCAATTAGGATACAGATAGCTTCAAGCTCACTTCCTAGGGATGGAAAAAAACCGAAGACTCAGATGTGATGGAAACCTCAGGGGAGGTGAGTCAACCTCAGCAGAGAGTGGACAGTATAACACTCCAGGAAGGAGGGAATGAGGGAGAAACTTTTTGGGAGGGACAGAAAGCATGTACAGGGGTCACTTCCTTCTGGCCCAGAGCACAGCTGGGAAACAGAATCCTACAGGTGGGCTGGGTTTTAGTGACCCACCAAAGGCCAGAACACAGTCTTCTTCCCAAGTCTCCCAATCAGATAAGTCCCTTCCTTTGATAAAGTGGAGGGGAGATGCTGTATTTTAATTATGTGGTGCTTTCCATGGTCATGGCCCACTTACCCCAGTCCTTACAACCATCAGGCACATCTGTTTATGCAAGGAGGCCCTAGAACTACTCTTGTGGAGCTCACCCGTGCAGTGTGGGCCATCCTCCCCAACACTTCAACTAGATTTTACCAGACTTGTTGTTAATGAAGCCCATCAAGAAATGCAAGCACAATTTTTCACCAGTTCTGCCCAAGGTGGTCCAGACATATCTCAGCAACCAAAGCTTCAGCCATTTAATTGTCCTTCCTACAATCCATGTGTTTCTTCACACACAAACATGCTTGTCCGCTCAAGGGAAGAGCAGAGAGGACTCAGGAGAGACGCAGGGCTCAGCCCAAAGCCTGGGGTGGGAGGTCCACACCAAGCTACACATGTGGTGACTTCTCCAAGGACAAGAGCACAGCTGGAACTCAGTGTACACCTGCTTCTCTCTACACTGCCTAGAGGTATCACCCACAAACACACCACCTTCCTCTCCAACAATCAGTTTAGAGGAATTCAAAAGCTTTTTCTAAAAAAAAAATATCTTTATTGATTTCATAGAGAGGAAAGGAGAGGGAGAGAGAGATAGAAACATCAGTGATGAGAGAGTCATGGATCGGCTGCCTCCTGCACGCCCCCGACTGGAGATCAAGCCCACAACCCGGGTATGTGCCCTGACCAGGAATCGAACCCTGATTGCCTGGATCCTGGGTCGACGCTCAACCGCTGAGCCACGCCTGGCCAGGCTCAAAAGCATTTTAAATCAGCTTAAAACACAAATGACAAAACAGAGAAGAGCAGAATAAAGAAATTCAAAAGGTGAAAAAAACACATACTACAAATGAAGCCTACTGAGAAGGCTGTCCTAGTAATCATTTTGAAAACACGAAGGTAAATCTGATATGTATCTTCTTGTAATAGATTATAGTAATGAATCTAATATTTAAAGTTCATATTCACAAAAGGCAGCTAAATAAAGGCTACCACTTACTTTGGAAAGCAAATTTATGCTCTCAGGTGAGTACTAATTACTTAGAAACCATCTATTTCAAATATTTAATTTTCAATCTTGTTTTCTAATTAACAATGTTGACAGTCATCAAACTAACTACAACACACTGACCTGAATGCAGCTCATGCCAACATCTCCTTCAGAGGCTTTAAATGATCATAATGTCTACTTTTGATACATTTAAGACACTGAACTTGTAAGTCCCTGTTCCTGGCTGGGTGGCTGCAGTGCACAAATCAACTGTTGTTCCTCATTGCTTTGCACATAATACCCTACCACACTCCACGTGAAAGAAGCTTAAAGCAATTCTGTGACTCACAACCATCTGTCCATAGACACATGTCTACAATTGTCAAAAGATACAGCTTGGTGTTAAATAAGACAGCTCTGCAAGAATGTCTAAAAACAGCCCAGCAGTTTAGCTCAGCAGTTAAGCATCAACCTATGATCAAGGAAATCAAGGTTTGATTCCGGGTGAGGGCACATGCCCCAGTTGCAGGCTCAATCCCCAGTGGGGGGCGTATAGGAAGCAGCCAATCAATGACTCTCTTTCGTCATTGATGTTTCTGCCCCTCTCCCTTCCTCTCTGAAATCAATAGATTAAAAAAAAAAAAAGAATGTCTAAACACAATAAAAGGACAGCTTAGATTTGTACTCCAATAAATATCTGTTCTGTTTTCTTCACAAAAGTTCAGTTCTTTTCAAACAAAAACCAGGTGTGTACACACACACACACACACACACACCACACACACACACACCACCACCACCACCACCACCACCACCACCACC